GACATGGGGCTACATCATCACTGAAGCCCTACTTGCAAACGAATGAGCAACACCATTCATCAAGAATAAATAAATTAAGACAGACACATTCATCATCAAACTCATCCAACACGATTGTCAAGAATAAATAAATTAAGACAGACACATTCATCATCAAACTCATCCAACACGATTGTAAGTGAAAATCAAGAAGTTTCGTTTTCATTTAAGTTAAAAACGTAATAAACAATTGTATTTTGAACTAAAATAATGTTTATTGCTTCAAATTTGAATGTTTATTTGAATTATCCTCTCCCCTATACGTCACATACAGTTTTTACTATTTTGACTAAATAAATAAACATGTTTCTTACTTTAAATTTTAATGTTAATGTTTCAAAGTTTGTTAATTTAAATGAAAATAAACATTCATTTCATGTCATCGTCTGTATATCCATTTGTTCATATCGATTTGGTTACGTATCGACTGCACGGTTAGCCTTAGTCCACCTGCTACATTAGCAGATGGCCCTGCTAAAACTTGCGAAATATGAAAGGTAATTGATAATAGTACCTTAATATAATATTAATATTTGGCACATTTTGGAACTCTGTTGGACGTAATTTCACTTGTGTAATAGTTCTATTAAATACCACTCGTGCTTTGGAAATTCTCAGGAAGTCCAAAGCATTCGTGGTGTTATCTATGATAATTTTAGGCGACGTTTTAAGTCATCAAAGTCTGCCTTCAAGATATGACCATTGACATGCTGACCAAGCTGATAAGTTATTTCAATAATGCCTCATTTAACTTTTATAATAATTAATTAAAATTAAAAGTCGTCCACGCATCAATATCGACTAATTAGCACATCTGAAATTCGATCTGGCGCGTCTACAGATGAACGTTGTGTCTGAATGTTAGAGCATCATGCCAAAGAATATGTTGAAGACTTTGACCAGCGTGTGGAAATGTGTTGTATTCTTTTTATATCTCTCGTCGTTATGGTCACCCCCCCCATCGTCCTATATTCCTCTGACGGCTTGATGTCCCATGTCCAAGAGGTCTGTAAGTCGACTTGATTCCAGTGTGGGAAGCGTGATAGGGGTATGTACAAAAATCGTCAGCATAGCTAATCGGGCACACCTTCAACTACATCACGCGATGAATTAAGAAACTTATGCCGACTTTTTTGGACAATAACGCCACATACACGTACACATACTTTAGTGTGCATAAGTGTGGAAGGCGTGGACTTCACGCATGAGCTTGTTGGTCATTAGTTGAAAATGCTGTTCTCCCATTGACCGCGCGATGCCACTGAAGCTGTGTCCGATTTGCTGCGAACGCTTTTACCCCCACCACCAGAGTTGAGTATCCGTACAGATTTCAAGCACATGTCACAATACATATATTCATAGCTCCATGCATGTCACTGTAACATTTCAGGCACATTTAACGAATATTGTTCGTCACATGCTTATTAGGATAGCAATGTTGGTTGTTGATGATGAGTGAGAATTTGTTGTAAGTCAATAATCTGTAAACAAACAAAACTGATTTGTGAAATGCTAAAAGCAGAATAGTAAGACAAGATTCTGAAAGTCATAGTATATTGAAGTGTGTTGTAATAAACATTTTAAAAGAATCTTCGTGATATTGTATGTTGAATGATGAAGGGTTGAACTGTAAAACATTACAACTCTTCCCTTTTTTTCGTCGAACAGGTTGTGTCATTCACCTTTTTTTTATTGGAAACCATGCCATCACACCTCTCTAGTCATAATTCTCGTAATATACCATTCCAACTCAAACAAACATCACGTAGTATACCATGTCGCATCTCAATATCCGTAAACAATTTTAATTTAATAATATTTTCGCACGTTCGAACAATGTGAACCTTATCGCCACACTTATCAAGTCAAAAAGAGTAATCCCTATGAAAGAATGATTCTAAAAAGATTCTAGGAGGATGTTCGTTGTGTTTTATTGAGGATTTCCAGTGCAATAAAACTAGCTGCTACGAATAATTACGTCTGTTCCTCCTTATAACAGACAGGTCACGTTGAACGAGGTTTTTCAACGAGAACTTCGAGTGAGGAGTTCTCACAGCAGACCCTGCAATTTGTGGGTGAAAGTAGATGTTCCCTTTAGCAGTTAGGTTGTCTGGCCAGATATTTGGCGCTTAGACATTCAGTCTTAATACTTCTTTGAACTTGGCGTTTTATGAGTAAGCACGAAAGTATACAGTCAAAATAATACTGAATCATATGAATTCACTTAACTGGCTTATTAACTGAGATATTGAGTGAATTACTTGCTTTACTTAACGCAGCTACAGTCTCTGGTCTGTAGTAACTGTTCTTAACTATTAGTTCACGTGATTTTTTAAGAGAGTTCCCGAAAATAATATTGTATTGGAGAAATTTTCTTTTCTAAACGTAAAAAAATTAAGCAATGTTACATTTTTAATTTAAAATAAAACTAGTACTTCACGAAAGTCCAGACTTTCTTGTAATATTTGTAAAGACTTCGCAAAGTTCTAGTAACTAGTAGATTGCAACTTAGCTAAAACTAAATAGGCTACTATTTATTTTCATAACTTCTTGCCATATCACCGAACTGAAATAAGAGCACACTATGAATATATATGCCGTTTGATCCATTGAACGATAAGGAGACACGGTGTGCACACTAGTGCATATGAATCGAGTTGCATGCGCTACTTTCAACTATGCGCCTGTAAATTTATGCCGGAAAGATGCATCATGTGGACGCAGCCTTGGGTTTTACGGGTCTTAGTAAATTTAAGTTCTCAAAGATATTTTCAATTATTTCACCCATGAATAATATCGGCATCCCTCAATAAAATATAAATAATTTAAATACTATAATATTAAAAATGGAGACTGGATTCAGAAATGCCATCTGTTTTATCGTATTTAAAACAGATATTTTAAACATCCGTATATTGGTTGATTTCTTCATCGACATTGAAAACCTTTTGGTGTTGTCTCGATATTTTGGTAAATTTTACCATCACTAAATTTGTGAAAAAAAATGTTTAGTGCTATAAAATTTCTTATATAAGCAAGGGTATTTTTGTTTATTTTCAATTTTGTTCTTCTTTGATCATTTCTTTGCATGTCATTCGATCGTGTACAAGTATAACGAAACTTCACGAGTGTATGTGAAGATTAGAATTATTCACTATATGTGTTTTAGGATGGCTAAAGAATGAAAACGAGGAAAAAATACAAAATAGGAATTGAAAATGTTCGGAATTGAACTGGGATATATAAAAATAATAGATGATGGATTTATACTTTGAGGTAGGAGGTAAGAAAAACAACATTGTCAACAAGTAAACTATTTATTTATCCTTCAAACAATATCATCACAGTGAAGTTATTTTAAATAAGTAATAACCATCTGTCTTAGAGAACGTTTCAAGAGTATTACCAGGAAGAAATGAGTGCTAGCCTGGAAAATCGCTTCGGTAATACGAATGCGTTATCAGGACGAATTTGCTACTTGAGTCTTTCACTAGAAATGAAATAATGAAACGTTCGCTGCCACATGGCAAATTCAAAATCTTACTTTACTTTGTGACATTCATGTGAGCTATTGGCCAGCTAGCTGGAGATGCGTAACAGACCAAACATTTCCACATCTGATCGACTGCCTGCCCAATAGGACAGCTTAAAACATGTTTTGCGAGGTCCTCTTCATTTAAGCACCAGTCGATTGCCATCTTCCTTTCTACGTTCTTGTAGAACGTGTCCCACAGGGTAGCATATATCTTTGTAAATCTCGAAAATTCTACGAATATTCTTATGTTGTACAATCCACTTTCGTTCATCTTCCTTATTGTGTCCAATTCACTTCAATTTGCGCACGTTTTCGCCAAGAAATGGCTTGGCGATCCTTTTTACTAAACATCAGTACAACCACAAACTGGATTTGATTCCTGCTTGAATTACTTACGAGGGTGGGACATTTCAACATTTTTGTCATTGAAACACTATGTATAAATTGAGCACATTAAAACATATCCGTGTTAAGGCAAGAACGGAGTAACCAATTGGTGAAAAATCTTGTTCTATAAATGAAATATTTTTCACTACTCCCTCTCCCGCAAAATAAATACGATACCTGTTTTGTATTTGATTTGATTGTAATTGACATTAAGGCTTGTCTAGATACATAAAGCATTCAAAACAGAGAAGAGCTTCTATTAAAAACGTATGCGATCGTCTCAAATAGCAAGAAATTATCTACAGAAGACTTCTTCTTTCTGTAAGCTGTACATATTTTTCGTGCATTAAATTAACTTACAACTTCTTCATTCGAGACACACTCTAATAAGGTGATCTAGAAAATAATTGGTTTAAAACGTATGCTTTTATTCTTCTCTGGGGGCTCCACAAGATTTCAGGGCCCAAATTCAATGCAGCCGGGACGGTATGAAGAAGCAAGCATTTCCTCAGTGATTATTAGCGTCCTCGTGGGAGACGATTATATTTGCGTAATTGACGTTCTCCATTGATAACTTGGGTGTATTTCGCGGCCGCGCGAGTGGTGGGTTTTGGAACGAGGGAGGGGGGAGGACCCATCCGAGCCGTCTTACGCGGGGCACCGTGGGAATGTTCCCCAATCCCCAGCGTACTTCTTGCTGGAGATACGTCCTCTCCTGAACGAAACCGTTACATAAGAAATTGCTGCCGCCATCGTGGCTGCGTTTCCCGGACAGCTCGTGGCCTTGCACGCTCGTTACCTTACATAACCATCTCCCTTTTTGTGGAAAGAGCCACGTGCTTTTGTGGGAGGAGCAAGAGGAGGTGGTGGCGGTGATGTTTCATGTACAATATGATGCGAGTGAATACTCGCGGCAGGAAGGAGGATGGGGCAGCGGCTGAGATGGCATGGCTTCCCGTGCGACCTCGGCACTGGCAGAGTGGCCTTCCCGTCCTTCCACCCTCTCCACTAACCCGACTTCCGACGCGAGGAGACCTACCTTGCATGTGTGGGTCGTATGACGGAACATGGAAGCCCTTTTGGAAGGGACTCTGAGTAAAGTTATTCCTTAGGTTGTGTATGTGGTAGCACTAAGTGGCCCCTAAAATTAATAAATAAATATAAAATAATATCCATACATTTGTGAGTGGGAATCATCTAATTCTTTATTTTTTTCATATTCCATCACTTAATAATTTTTTGGTTTGGGGTCCAGCCAATAATATTGAACTAACAACCACTGGTATTGCCCAATTCAAAGTTTAATCCGCTAAAAAATAATTCTCCCTCAGTAATTGCTTGAATTTCAGGCGTCTATGTCTTAGAAAACTACCAAACTAATGTAATAGTTACACGTGTTCCTAATACAATCAATTCAATTATTAAAAAACGTATTAGGTTTTTTAGAGGCGGTGGCCGTACGTAAGCTGTGCGCGTCTGAATGAACGCCCCCTCCCCCGCGCCATCTGCAGCGACCTTCGCTTCCGCCGCCGCCGCGGCGTGCGTGGCCAGCTGATTGGTCGACGAGGTCTTTAACACGCGCGGACGCGCACGGCATTGACGCGATCTCTTGACACGTGAGGCCTTCCGACCTGCGATCGCTGGGAGCGCTTCTCCGCCTTGGGCATTGTGTCTTGTACTACGTACTAGACGTGCTTTACGAGATGGATTGTTGATGGTGGGGATGGGAAATTAGAAATGATGAAAAATACGGGCTTTAATCGAATACATGCGTATGTGTACGCAAAGTTTTTGTAAAGTATTCTGGGTATTAAAGCCCCGATAGTTTACTATTGTTTTATCTCGTGCGTCCTCATTTTGAAGAAATTCAAATTGTTCCTTGATATTAAGGTTAAAGGCGATTGTTACGTACTCAATGAAAAATAAATAGTATGTGTTATTTTTCGCCTGTCGGTGGGTTGGAATGCGGACGCTTCTAAGAGAAGTTGAGTTTCGTAAACTGACTGTTGGTTTGATTTAACACAGTATTTTGTAACACTTTATTTTGACAGCATTATTTTCTCCGCCAATGCTCGCGGAAATTGGTGAAGAAGCATTTGAAGTATTAGCTAGAGAAAGTGTGTTTCCTGTATTAAACTCTTTGAAATGCTTATTTGCATGTATTAAACACACTGAAATGGCTAAATGCCAATTTAGAATCCTAAAAGTTTTCTACAATACACCAACCATCAAACTTTCTTTGGAAAAAAATCGAACTAAATTCGTCGCAAATCGTCATCACGAGCTCACTGACTCGTGATTTTGAGCGATCGCTTTTGCCTCTCAGCAGTTCCGTGCAGTTCGGCGTGGTGCATTTCGCGACTAAACGACTCCCGAGTTCGCTTGCGTCACGACCCGCGAGCGCAGCCAAGGAGCAGCGACGTGCGACGGCACATGGCGCGCCCAGCTCGAGGCTCCACGCGAAGGCCCCCTAGCCGTGCACGGAAACTTTCCCTTTTGGACACACTCCTTCGGTCAGGGGTGGAGACCGAATATACCTGTTCCACAAATTAAAACGCAACTACTATTGCTGTGCATTGTGCTGTTGTCATCAGTCGTCTTTATAGACCAGTGACCTTCGAACTTTGGTTTCTCACATAACACTGAATTTCACCGAAAGTAGCGAGGTCACTCATAAAGATACGTACAAAAGTAATTTCAAGTTGTACAAATACAGTGAAACTTGTCTATAACGGATCGATAAAATATGGCTCAATAAAGTTTGGCTCGATTGTAGAGACGTCTTGACAAAACAAAAGTATTCGCCATGGTCCATGAAAATTATCCGCTAATTAAAGGTGTGCAATCAGTAATATTTCACTATGAATTGTGGACAATATTTTTTGTTTTCCATAATAAGGAATTGTACAAAATGGTTTAAGAGTTATGTGGATCGACGAAACTTGAAAACCATTGGTTTGTAAGAAGGTGACGACAGTTTCTCTTGTGTCTGAACGACAAAAGGTGTTGCTTTTTTCGTGCTCAATTTATTCGATTACAAATGTCCCTCTCTCGTAGGCTAGCTTTCTAGAGTTTCGTGTTTATATACTCTGAAACTCGAGATTACTACAAATTCCTTTTTTCTACAAGCGAGGAAGGCCTGATGCGCTAGTTTAAATGATTTTATAACTCCAAACAATATATAATATGAAATAAAAATTATATGAAAATATGTCAACCACCCGGAAACGTAGCGAATAACGTAGCAAAATCCAATGGAATCATCTAACAGAGGATTTCTGAATGACATAAAGGCATTAAAGACGAAAGGCGTCCGATGTAAGAATCATTGCGGGTGGTTGACTTTACAGGTACTGTACTATGACATTACCACTTAGAAAATGCAGTGAACTGTGGAGCACACGATGATTCATCCACTGCGCTTCTTCACTCTGCCTACTCTTTTCATTTCTTAAAAGTTCCTGGCTTTTTTCCTTTTCGAACAATCACTATCACCAAGAAAGAACGAAGAAAACGATCCACTTTGACGTGCGGTTGTCGTACTGTCAAACCGACAAGGGACGGACTGCATTTTCTAAGCGGTCGCCCTAACAACAGTGTAGAAGAAACAGCTTCTTCTCCGAGGGAGACCCTTTGCAGTAAGAAGAAAAGACGCTTTGAGACGCTGGCCCGCTTCAGTAAACGCACGTGGGCATTGCGTACAGGAGAGACGGACCTTTTTGTAAAAGCGGTCGCCCTACATCGTTCAATGCGAAGGAATCTGCCCCTTTCCAGAGGCGGGGGAGACTTTTCCAGGCAGAGAAAAATCAGCATCTGAAGTTCGCAGGCTCGTTAGGCACGCGGGCATCTAGGGGAAGAGGCAAGGGATTGACTACATTACCTACATGGTCGCCCTACAACCACAGAGAAATACAGCAATCCTACTCTTTTTGAGCGGATGAGCGAAATCACAGCGTCAGCCGTCGAGTCTGGGGCACAACGGAGGAGAGGGTGGGGCAAACGTGTGCATCTCCCCTAGGGACGGACCACGTTCCAGATTTCCAGACGGGTCTTCGCCCTACGCCAGCAGGAGAAGCCCAGGAGCTCCGTTACCTTCTCGCTCAATCTCACAAACACACCCACAGAGAAGAGAGAGGGTGAGGGGGAGCACACGCAGCAGAGTTCGCGAGCGCCGCTCGCACGGGGGCGGAGAGTGGATCTAGAGATGCGTGATGATGATGTCGTCGTCGATGTCGTCCTTCTCGTCGTCCGTCTCCTCCACCTTGCCCTCTTTGGCGAGCTGCTCGGCGGCGGCGGCCGCGGCCTTGGGGTCCTCCGCCAGCGCCTTGAGGCGGCGCTGCTTGCGCGCGTGCAGCACTTCGACGCACGCGTACCCGGCCACGCCCGCCAGCAGCACCGCCAGCATCACGTACAGCTTCATGCGCGCGCACAGGTGCGTGCTGTACGCGTACGCCACCACGAAGCCCGCCGACTCCCACAGGCGGTAGTTGCTGAAGGCCGCCTCCTTGTTGCGGCGGAACAGCGTGCCGTAGATGCCTGCGCGCACACAAAGCAACTTTAGTTACGAGTTGTTAACTCTGTGTGAGGTGGGGGGGGGGCGATAATCTCATTTTTGAACGTAGGCGAGGGAGCAGGCTCAGACATTTTATGGCTTTCCCTTTTCTAAACAGTGTGAGTGAGCATTCATGTAAAAGATAGTGTGTACGGTTTGTCTTTCCCTTCAAGTGTACGAGATTGTAGAGCATTCATAATCAATGTTCATGGATGGGATAATGTTCTGATTGGAGTTGTGGAATTAATAAAAAGGTACCATGTATCAACATTACAATTTGAACACTTCGTACCCTATGCGATACTCGAACAAACGGATTTCAGATCTACGTACGGGGACACTGCTTCAAGCCCAGACTCTATTGAAACCATGTCTTTGTCTACGTTACCCTCGAATTTCGAACGTAAGAATAACTTCCTCTTTATTTGGAAAAGCGAGAAAATCTTCAGTGCCTAGTATCGATGAGATCAACTACTTCACAGCATTCCTTCAACTTTTTATCAATCAAAATTGATCATATTAACCAAGAGACCCACGAAACTTTAGAAGCACATACTAGACAACATAAGAGGAAACTTGTAATATGGGGTGTCTTGATCAATGTATTGTGAAATATACATTGAAAAGAAATATTGATTACGTTCGTGTTCAATACATAAATAATATAACGTCATAAGAAATTATCTACTGTGCCTTCTCCAATTGCTTTACAGATTGAGAGATTTGTATTAAATTGCAAATATTGTGGCCTGACATCGTTTAAAACAGAAGTTGTTATTCAAATATGTAGGGAGGAATATTTGATATGCAGAGATATAACAGTAATTTTTAGAATTAAAAAACTGTTTGATTTTAAATAAAATAAGACAGCAAATGCCTGTAAAATATGATTATGACGGAATGGTGCTAGAACTTCTGAATTCCAATGTAATTATTTTATGTATTTCTCATTTTGCATCCAAATCAATATTTTTTGAACCGCACCTTAACTATTTTAGAGAATTACAGATTATCTGTAACGTGACCTTTATTTGGACTACATGCTAAAATTAATATTTTGCAAAATTGAGGAGGATTATATTGCTTAAATACTTGTTCTTAAGTACTTGACTCAATTTTAGCTTCACAATTGTTCAAACTAGACATTTCACTTCTCAAACGTAAAAACTCCTACTTCAATCGATGAGAATCAAGAACTAGATGAATGAGTTTCTCCGAGATTGTGTAGAAATTAGATATCTCCAAATGCCTCAAACTGTCTTTTATGATTCATGAAAGCGTTGTCAATACTTATGCAAACCCACAAGCTATAACGCCCACCGTCTCGCGACGTTATTCTTGGTCAGATATTTTATCAAGAGATTGGATTGAGATCAAGAGGTAGTAATGAGAATCGGGATCTAAAATAGGATCAAAGTCGTAGTTCTAATACAACAGCAAACTCAATTACTTTGACGCCAATTCGTTAAAATATTTTAGAAAATTTGAGAAAATGACATATTTTTATGAATGTGACTAATTTTGTTATCTGGTTGGAAGTATTAGACTTGTTTGAACGGCCGAATAGTAGATATGACTCGTCGTTAGATTGATTCATCCTGTTTATGAAAGCGGCAGTAAGAACTGGAAGTCCCGTTACAGCTCCATTTGCATGGGCATTTTGCTTTGATTAATGTCACAACAAAGTGACGCGTGTTCGATGTGTATTACGTATTCAGTGAAACTAGGTGCATAGGGAAAGATCCATCCGCTCATGATGAAATCACGGAAACCGACCGGTAGAACACAGGCAAGTGTTCCAGGTTCGGTCACACCAGGCCGATATTCACACATCAGAGTGGAATGACCTCTTACACAGATTTCAATCGATATTTTTACTGTACCCGCGAGAGGAAATCCGACAAAGGAAAATAATTCAGTGAATTTCCGCATGTTGTTTGGAAACCTAACAAATTATCCACCTCCTGAGGCATTTAAATGTAGATAGATTTTTGCACTCTATTAAATATTATCTTAGGGTGATCCAAATTGATAATAAACATTAGTGTTGTTCTAAAATGTTAACATTAAATGTGAATTGGAAGGGCAACAAACATTCCTTGTAATTATCCAACAATTTGAATAATTTAAAGAAGAATTTACCGTAATCCAGAGGACAAATTCTCTTCCTCACTCGATACATGTTGGGATGTTGCGATACCTTCCACTTATTCGATATTTTTGCTTTCAATATATTAACATCGGTATTGTTATTATTGAGCCGATAATATTTGGGTTTTCAATCGCAGTAATGATAACGACGAAACTACATTTCTGGCGTATTGATTGTTTCGAATGAGTTTAAAATTACGATCTCATCCTTTCGCCCCATTCTTCAAAGGTTCATATTTTAGAATTACTTCGAGAAAAATATACGGATTTGTTCTTGTTTATACGAATAAAATGTAATATTTATTAAAACTAAGATTTAATTATGACATTACTATCTAATTCATGACAATTTCTATAAATGTGTTTGAATATGACGGAAAAGGCACGTTTTTACTAGAAATCATATATTGACCCCATCTGATATTGAGAGATTTCAGACTTGTGATTCTACAATATCGATTTATCAATACTTCTTTCTGATGATGGTGTTCTTATTGTGACAATCCAAATATAGAAATATACATTAATGAAAAGACATGGTCAGCTGGTTCACCGCACCGATTTTTGCTCGTTCTTTACAGCACCAGACAGTGACGAAACATGTGACCTCAAAACAAGTTCTTTGTTCAAAAAGACAATCCTGACGCTGAGCGCCATTCTGCCATGGCAAGAGAGAAGGTTTGAGAAATATTTTGAAAGTGACATAAAGTGACAATTTTCATGGTGACCAAGAAAAACTAACATTATGAGGGTGTAGTTGAAATAACAGATGCAACAAACAAAAAAGCTTCATATATCTGTTTGAATGACTTGTAGCAAGGTGATAATTTTGGTATCTGGTTTGCATTTAAAATCCCCGCTAATATTGTGACGCAAACTGGTGCATGAAGCTCATTTGGCTGAAGCTGCGGAATAGCTCTCCCACGTCTTCGCATGGTGCATGCAACCGCGAGGCACTCACCGTTGACCTGCGTCTGCCAGACGGCGTCGCCGACGCCCCACAGGCCCGAGATGGCGAAGAAGACGAGCGGCGACGTGGGCGACGGCCGCCACACCAGCAGCACCCCCACCAGCGCCGCGTGCACCAGCCCGCCCAGCGCCATCAGCGGCCAGCGGCCCACGAACTTCATGACGGAGCCGAACAGCAGCGAGCAGATGGCGTTCACCACGCCGAAGCAGATCATCACGTAGCCCACGTTGTGGATGCCCAGCGCGCACGACACGTACGCCTGCGGACACACACGCTCGTGTTACGGCCCTTGTTCCCATAGATTACTAGTGTACACGTAGGCTTCCGCGGCTCGACTTCATGACTTCTAGGCTGTCCGGGTGACGCCGCGTCGTTGGCAGACCAACGTTTCGCCTGTCATGTCGCAGGCTTCTTCAGGGCAGGGACCGTCACTACCCTGAAGAAGCCTGCGACTTGAGAGGCGAAACGTCGGCCTATCTGCCAACGACGCGGTGTCACCCGGACAGCCTAGAAGTCAGATTACTAGTGGTTCCGGGCGCGTCAACGCCTTAGATCATTAGCCCCGTAAGTGGAGTGCAATACGCGAGTGTTATAAATGTTTTTAAGTTGAAGGAAAAACAAACCTACCACGTAACGTATAACTTACCATTTCTTAATTTACAAAGGTCAGGTCAAATATACAATTCGCATTTGTCCCGAGGAAAAAAGAATACTTTTCCGCGACAATTTCTAAAATTTTCTTGTCATATATTGTGGGATTCTGTCTTACCTTGTCTGTTTTAACATTTATTTAATTCTAAGTAACAAACAAAACAACGAAAAAACAAAAGGAAGAAAGGATCCGCCTCGTCGGCGGTCCTTGTTCGGTAGTTGAGGCTATGATTGAAGGAAACCGAGGGAAAGACCAAATCAACACCTTTTTCTAGAATTCTCCTGATTGAAACGTTGTCGTCCATTCAGCTATTTGTCTGTGGCCGGAAATCCGTGAATCTGGTATCTCGCGTTCCATAGTTGAGGTCAACGCAACCACCTTTTCAAATGCCTAATGTTAGAGCTAATTTCAAAAGCAAAATAAATAGTTTCTCACTACGTAGAATCTTGTTATATAATAAAAATGTCAGTTTCATACTAATCATCATACACTTTATCTCTTGAAATCTTTTCATTGAGTTTGCTCGAAAAAAATTTCATTCTTCGCGTTCATTAGGTAAACTGCATAGTTACTGTAGCCAATATACCGTTTATTCATAAAATTAAATTGTCGAAGAGAAAATTATTTATAAAAGGAAAAATCTCAATATATAAATTTATTTATAAGTGAATGTCTTTTTAAAAAATACAACTATACTCTCTAACTTCCGTCTAATGCTTAGTATGGAGAAACAAGGCATCAATTTCTGAGAAGACAATTTGGGAGGATGTTCATTATTCAGAGCTTTGGATGTTGAGAACACAGTTGGTTGCTCGCATGGCAAGGCGAATCGAAAAATGGCACACGGAAACCCGTAACCACGTATGTCCTCAATTACCTACACATTTGCTGAATATTTCTTTCGGGGAAAACATCTTTCAAGTGGACAGACGGAAAAAATGGGCCTGTTGAAAATTGCAAATTGTGATAGTAATGAAAGTCCAGGACCACAGTAGCCCAAACTTCAACATAGTTGGAAGTTAGGCATGGAGGGCTACGTGTGCTGTAGCATATATTCAGAGAATTTAGGATTTTTGTTTTATTGTATCGAGGATGGAAAGCAGTATCTAAAATGCTAAACTGAATTTTTCTGATTCCTGTATCAAAAACTCTCGTTTACTTGAAATAAAAAAATCTTCATTTTTTTAAGCAATTAACATTTCGTGACGTCCATTTTTGCTAATATGTTCACGGGTTTTTGAGAAATTGGTGAAACTTTCAACATTAAAAGTAGGTTTTGAATGCTATTTTATATTAGCCATTAATTCCTATTATTAAAAATACATTTTTATTTTGTTGTTTCGTTTATCTGGAAAATATTGTGAGGAATGTTTGGAAATATAACATATATTTTTAATGATGATTCTAATATTGTCATTTACGCGTACATTTGATTTGAGTATTGGATGTCTGTAATAAACATATGTCATTTTCTTTTAATCAACTCAAATTTATATTTTTCAAATAACAATATTTGATTCCTGAAAAATGTTTTCTTTAAATATGTTCTTTTCTCCTAGAAGGATTTTGTTGTCTCTGTAGGCAACGCGTAGCAGCTATTAAGTTGGCAACCTTGCCGCTCTTCTAGAGCCTCTTCAACTTTCACTCGCTCATGCAACGTGTTTTTTCGTGTTATTTTCCCCGCAGTCAGAACTGTGGGAAGGGGATGACAAATATGCTTTTGGAAAACAACTGGAATAGTGTAAATTCTTAAATAAATCAGGTGAAATGTAATGAAAAGCATGTATACACTACACACAAATTACAAATGTACAAAATCAGGTTTTGTTTCTTCGTTGGGCTTGTCAAACACGTCAGTAACTACTGGTCTCCTGTATGGTTTAGGTTGTATTCTAATGAAATGTTCGAAGAGTGTTTATAGGATAAATATTAGTCAGATATTTAAATTGCATTATTTCCATCATAATGGGATTTGAGATCTGAAGACACGCATTATCATTTCGATATTTATTCTTAGTTAAGAGCTGCAATTGTCACGAACAGGAAGTTACAAAATTATGTTTGTGAGAAATGAATATTTTCTGGCTTTGTACCATTTATAAGGCTGTATATGATGATGGTTCACAGCACTGTTTCGTAAGTTGTCATTTCTAGCGAGAGAAAGAACTCGTAAACGTGGGCAGGGGTTACGTGAATAAATAAAAAAGTATCATCAGCCCTTTCATCAAAAGATCTTCTAGATCAGAAAAAATGTCATAGGTGTTGTCTTATGCATGGCGATTCAAGAACCAACTTTTTAAGTTTAAAGACTTGTGTTTTAAATAATTTGCTTATGTTTTTAAATTTCGATATACTAATATTTGAGGTACATTGGGAAAATACGATTTAAAAAAATAATATACGAGCATTTATTTTATTGTTTATAAAAATAGAATATCTAGTCTAGAAAATATAGTAACAATAGAATTTCTTTTACTATATTAATATCTATTAATCGGCGTAAAAATTTATGTTAACCTCTTATGTAGAGAAAATCAATTTTTTTTTTAGATTTTAGACGTGGTAGAACATTCGTTGGTTCCGTGAGGTAAATTAATTTCAATTCAGTAATTTTATTGTGTTTCGTTCTCGGATAAAGGTAAAATATATGCTAATTTTAAAGTACTTTCTAATCAATTTTTTTTGTATGAACTGATAATCGTTGTAGTAGAAGAAAAATTAATGAGAAGTGAAAATATGTGTATATAGTAAAACAATTTAAAAAGCATGAAATCAATGAATATCTAATGACTATCTAATCAACAATAACTTCCTGTTTGTTCAACGTTAGTGTGCAGTTCAGCTATTATTATAATCGTAGTTGCTTAATTATTTCATCTACAGATTTTCGTAAAGAATATGTGAACATTGAAAGGTAATGAACAATATTATATTAAATTATCTTTCCACATTAATGGATATTTAAAAAATCTCTACAAACTCAGTAAAAGTAATATTGTGTTCCGAGGTAGCTATGAGTAAATGGAGTGGTTCTAAGTGGTTCTTTTAAAAACGATAGACATTAATTCTGATTCTCATTTATTCTAGAAACGTTTTGTTCGAAACAGAGTTTGTAAGCGTAATTTACTTTATGAGTGGTCACATCTTAGGGCAACCATAAATATTTCAGTATCAAGGTCTATCGCGACAAAGCTTCAGACAACTCTTGAACTGTATTTTATACCGTATCTACTTCACTACGCAGTATTAGGAAGTTGAATGCTTTACTCCGTGTCAAAGTCTAATGAAAATCTTTCTGCCTCATCTCTTTTTTTAGAATCACAGGTGTTACAAACAAGGAGATGAGTATAAACACATGTGTGACGTATTTATCATGACTTCTTTTTTATCTTTTTGGTGTAGAAATATCACTTATAATTTTATTTTGCGTAACATTTGCAATTCTCTATGAGGGAGTTGCCAGGAACAAAATTATTCAACCTCTTTCTGGACAATTGTACATCATTTAGGTAATGAGCTCTACTGCACGAAATTGAAGGAGATGTCGGATTTCATGTCTTGTCCTTTTTATAGAAAACCTTTTACCGCCACAGCGCGGGCTTCTTAAGTAATTTTCGACCCAAAGAAGAAAGTCAAGAACATTTAATAAAAAAGGTAAAATAATGAGCAGAAATGCATTTCCATACTCAGAGATTATTTTTGCTTCATTTCCAGTTACTTAGAGAAAACGTTAAGTAGGAAATTGGAAAATGTATAAATTACTTTATGATAATACATTTAAAAAACATTAATTGCTGTTATGCTGACTCATACCTGTGTAAAATCTGCACCGATGAAGGCTTGTTCCATGCCGATCCAAACAGTGATGGGAATAAGCAGCTGTTGATTCTTCTTTTTAAGTTGGTAAGCGGTGGCCGATAACAGCTGGATTCCTGTTAATTCCTGTTGGTCACTTCGTCGTTGCTTCTCACCGTATCTGTTAACAAAGAGCCATTCATAACTCTAAGTTCATGGATAGAAAATGAGTAAAGGATGAAAGTTAAATGGAAGTGAGTGTTTTTCTATACATCAGAGTAAATGTAAATATTAATATTGCTCATGCTATGAACTATTGACTTAGTCTGCGCGTTTTATTCAGCGCTTGGCACAGCAAGAATGGCAGTCAATTGAAGTTATATTTCAACCCTTTAGAAGGCTCAAAATCAGACGTGGAATTAACAATTGCATCAATGGAAGAAAAGAGGAATAAATCGTAATGATATATGCAACACGGTTGCCTATTTTTCCAAGCAACAAAGCAGGGAAAAGGAGGCAATTGATGAAATGAAAATCTTCATTTCTTTTTTACAGATTTTTTTTAGTTTAGTGAAGTAATTTCACAGTTATTTTTTACAGAACGTTATAACGTGAAGTAATTTCACAGTTATTTTCTTTATTATGTGGCCACTTATCTTTTAATTATCATTGTTACAAAGACCTGAAATATATAACACAAAATTGTAAGACAAAATTCAATAACCATTTTAATATAATATATTATGAAGATATGTCAGAATTTTATGCTATACTTTTGCAGTTTAAGCCCAATACGATTACAATATACGTCCAATTCAACAATATTTATGATCTGTGACAAACAATTTCAGAAAAGGAGCAAATGGATTTCGACAAAAAACATGCTGAAGTCATGATTCTACAAAACGTTCGTTTTCTGGTGTGTGCCTTAAAATACTCTGATCACATACACGTGCATATTTTACCAGAACAGCAAATTACATCGTCACACACGCAAAGAGCCTTAAGCCTCCTCGACACATGTTTGTGTCGTGTTCCAATCTCTTCTGCCGTCATCACAAACCGGCAAAAACCGGATGACACCCAGGGAAAACAAAGAAGCCCAAGATGGGCTCAAAGTGTGTATTCTACTGACTGCGTTAGCGTGAGTGGTTGAGTGTGCGCTATGGTGGTTCAGGATATCTTTAGTTAACTTCCTGACGGTAGCGGAGTTATGAAGCTGGGAGGGCGATACTATTATATGAAAGAGGATGAAGTTTCGAGGCTCACAGTTCTGATTCGTGGATTCCTCAAATCAGATGTAGCTGGGTGCACGAGTAATTTTTCACAAATATACCACAGACCACGTGCACTTCTACTTACCGACCCGTCCTTAGAGCTGAGCTGTGGGTTTATAATTCCAGAAGAGTTAAAATATAAAACTCATGCCCAAAGTGCTTTATGCTTAAACTAGAATATTCTGCATTACCTGAATTTTTTGCTTCCCGTGCCGATGTCATGCTCAAAGAACATAGAGATTCTCTATCATTTTGAGACACATTTTAACATGCATTGAATTGGCTGTGAAAGTGGTTCAAAATATTTATCATTTTTGACGTCATGCTCAACCGTCTACAACTTTCTAGAAACGTTTGAACTATATATAGCATCAATAAAATAAAACTGAAAGGAGCACAACATGTTGATACGATAATGTATAACAACCTCTTCAAGGCTAGAATGAACCTTCTGAAAAACTTTCTAGTTCGAATAACTGAGTACGAAGCCTGGTGCGTGGTATCAAATCGTGCGTTTATTGAATTACGAGCCGCGTGGAAGTCCGAACCGTTAGGGCAATTGGCAGCAATTGAGACGCAGCGTCCCGATATAAAACGTCCGCACGACACCTTACGTGACCGTCTTGGCCAACGTGCGTGTTTCGCAAAGTCGCTCATGCAGGGAGAGGCGGGCAACTCCCCGGGGCGTCGCAGGCGGCAAGTGCGGCCTCGCGTATTTCGGGCCCCGCCCCCTCCAGCCGTCGACGCGCCCGCGCGCCCGCCGGGGAGTCGGAAGGATCGGGCCGCTTTCCCGCCGCGTCACGTGACCACGCGTGCCCCGCCGTGCGCCTCCGCTCCCTTGGCCCCCGCGACGCCGCCGCGCGCCGCCACCGCGGCCCCGCCGAAAGTCTCAGTCAAAGCGTAAACGAAGTGGGAAATAATCGAGAATCAGAATCATCTTCGCACCGTGGACGCGAAGGCATGGTTGCAGTAGTACGTGGTACGGTTCGTATGTGGGATTGCGAGTTCGAGTACCGATTTGGCGTGTTTTCTGACATGGTTGGCTTTCCCGCTTACCATGTATCACATTTCCAACAACATCCTTCCACTTTTTTATTGTTTTTTTAATATATATATACTATAATAAAATATATAATATATATATATTTAACTATATATAATATATATATATATTTTATATATATATTAATATATATATATATATATATATATATATCGCTATATGACTGTCTAAAATAAATTCTAAACAAAAAATCCAATACAATCTTGAAGACAGTCTGAAGACAGTGGAACACCCGTTCACTCTTCGACCGTCCGGGTGGTACAGAAATCATGCGTTTGCGTTGCTCTTCAACACTTTGTGTTGTGGTCCCAGCCCACTATGCATCCCTCTGTGAGCGTGGATCTCTCCCCTACAAAACAATTCCCACTATCTGATGTCGGCAAGCCGAGCTAGCCAGTATACCTAAACAGGTCTCCTCAATTTCGAAGGAAAGTCGTAAATGGACTTATGAGCCAGAAAATTAGGAGATAGCCAAAACCGATTCTACAATGGATAATGTAAATGGAAGGGTCACTGTCTCGGGAAACAGCGAGTTAGGGAGACTATAACGTGTTGAGGAGATCCAGGCTCTACAAAGCAATGCAGGGTGAAGTGTCCTGATTCATAAATACACGTATATTCATGATTATTATCAAGGTTTTTTCCCTGTTCCGAACGAAACGCCGCTTCGCCGTGCAAAAACTCCCTGGCAGAATTAGGTTTCAAAATATCGATCTATCGACTGTCGATATATTTTTTTAAAATTTTTGTCTGTCCCTAACTCCAGCTAGAACCTGCCGCTTGACGCCGCCTCAAGGGCAAAGAGCTAGGGCAAAGAGTTTCTACGTGAGGGTTGAGGGGAGCGCTTCGGGCCGCGGCTCCGCCGGGGGCGCGCACAGTGAGTCACGCGTCGCTCCAGACGCCGCGCAGCGCAGCGCCGCAGCGGCGCCGCTAGGAACCCGCTCCGACGGAAGACCGGTCGCACTTGTTTTTGTACCCGGATACTGCGTTTGATTTAAAAGTATAAACACTAACGTAACCCATCTGAGCGTAATAACGAAAGGAAAGTGGCCTTATTGTGGCTGTATTTTGAGGACGCGAGGCAGGATGTGTTCATTCTTAATGAGTTCTTTGATCTTAATGATCACGCGAATTCAGTATGCAAGAATTTATGGTATTTTGTGTAAGATATTCTAGTGTACGTTTTAATGACGGATAATTAGTTGATAATGAAAAATATGTATTTCAGTAGATAAAAATAAATATAAGAAACATAATTAAGGAACCAGCGAGTAAAGCAAATAACTCTATTCGATTTTGTGGTAAATATAGCTTTCTTTTTTAACTTTCAAATATTGAAATTCATTAATCATTAAATTATATACTGATTAATAATGTAATGTTTGACTGAGTTGCTATTCAGATGTCTTGTAAATTCTTTCAACATTCATGTCAGCAACAGGATTCCTTTCCTTTTCTTCAAAGCAGCCATAAAATAGTCACTTTACACCTTTCAGCCTTACTAGGAGCGATTTGAGCTCATTGTTCTCGTAAGGCAATATATGCTGAATGCGTAATCAAGAGTTCGTTTCAGAACAATTTCCACACATATCCGTTAGTGTAAAAGCATGAACAAGCAAATAGTCTTCGCATAGGCGTGTTGGAAGGAAGGGAAGGGAAGGGGAGGGTCTCTCACGCACACACGCAGGGCCCCCCGCACTCTCCTCCCCGCCTGCCGACAACTCGTTTCTCACAGGGGCAGCGACCTCCTTGTATGGCCTCATGCGGGAAGTGCCATAAACATTCAGTCCGCTGTGTTCTGCGCCGGGGAAACGACCCGGAGTCGATCGGCCGGTTTCGCGCGCTGCGCGAGATGGCTTTTGCCACGTTCAAAAAGACCGAGTCCACGTGCGACAATCGCCTCGCGGCCGCGCGCGAGCTCCGATCTCCACCCTCTGCACTCCCTACTGCATGCGGCGACCCCCAAACGCCGTCATTCGCAGTGGCTGCTGCGCTGCCCGGGAGACGCCGCGCCGCTGCTAACATTGCGCACATGTGCTAACATTTCGGCAGCCCTTTTACGACCTTCCTCAGGGCGAAATGTTCCTTCGCAGGGAGGTCGCCGAATGAAGGTTGACTTTTTGGCACTGTGCCTAGGACGCGGCGCGGCGCGGCGTCTCCCAGACAGCCAAGCAGCTTGCCTATTTTTTTACTCCACACTCCCGATTGCATCCTTCAACACCGGAATCGACACACCATACTCGGTGCTCCTCACTGAAATAATACAATTTCTCATGCTGGAGAGACGTAAGGCATTCGCTGACTGTTAGAGTTTAATCGATGAACATGGATGCGTGATGGTTCTCGGTGCGTGAAAGGTTATTTTTTGAAAGTAGTCCCAATTAATAAGTGGCACCTGATAATCATAATCATAATCATCATCTTCGCGACGCGGTGCTCGGAGTAAGGATTATATTTGGTGCTATTTACAAAGGGAAAGAGTGCGGAAATTTAATTTTATGTGAACAACAGTATGAACTTCAATACGATTAAACAAGGTAACACCCCACGACAAACTATACTGGACGCGGAGTAGAGGTTATTTGACCACTGATTACCAGTTACACTAAAAACTGTTTAAAAAAAGCAAATATGAAGTAAAACTAAATAACTACCCATGTACATTATATTTTGTTATTTTTTCAGTTCCATTGAGCTTATTTTTAGTTCACTAAAAACACCGAAAGCGACCCGGTGGGCAGGGAGGGAAGAGTATCTTCCCCTTAGCGCCAGGTGCGCGCCGCCGCGCGGCAAGTGCTACACGTGTTGTGGAAGGTGTCGGAAGCACGCCTCGCCTCGCCT